AATCGCATGCAAGTATCCTCTAAAATTTATTTATTTATATCAAATGGCAGGCGTCTTGATGGTTATCATTAGCCCTTTAGTTGACTTCAAGCTTCACAGAGGGGAACGAACATCAAATTGAAAAAGTCGACAGGGGGGAGGGAACAGAAGAGTGTTTCAAAATGTAAGAGGCAAACACAAAGGTAGAACAAAGGTGAGGTGAGTACTGTGTAAATATTCCAAGATGGCATCGAGTGAGGTGATGGTAGTTTGAAGTGAGAAGTCAACTGCCAGTCAATAGACTTTTTTGCCGTATGAATATACATTGCCCAGGGTGCACCACGTGGAGGTAAGTCTATCGCACACCCCTTATCTTCTAAAATAAAACTTGGTTTGATTGACAGCATTATTGGTCAGATATGAGGCAGTGAGTAGACTTCATATACAGACAAGAAGAAGAAGAAGTAAATAAGCAGTGATTGGATACAATGTAGTAATTTAATTTTATGAAATCTGTTGGAAATAGCAGAAATATTGCAGGCGGAAGATGGATTTGGGATCAATATTTAAATAGATTAAAGGCTTCCCCACTGTTGGATTGCTAACTGTGCCTATCATAATATACCCAGTTTTCTAAGGTTTGTACCCACCCAAGAACGACTTTTAACCAATCTGTAAAAAAGACTTCATTAATGTCTACATGAAGAGTAACACAATTGATTGCTCCACTCTGGGGAGCTTACGATTATTTTTCCAGCCCTGCTTGATCGACCATTCGATTATTGAGTGTTGAAAAAAAGGTGTATTACCTATTGGTTTTTATTTCTTACCTTGCAGAACTGTGCCTCAAGTCTTGGTGAAGTGTATCACGGAGTTGGAACGACGTGGGGGTCTTATGATGGAGGGTGTCTACAGAGTCCCTGGAAATCAAGAGATTGTTGAAGATTTTCGCATTGCTCTGGACAAAGGTTCGTCCTTTTTCCTTTTTTTATTTTATAAGATTCGAGTTTTTATGTGTTCAGGGGCCTTTTGTTTGTGTTGCCAATGTGCACCTTTCCCACATTACTGGAAAGTCTCAGGCCCATCGGTGAAAGCTCAGTGAGCGGATTGACAACTCCACCCACTAGGTCTTGTCAAGTTGGGGGGGGGGGGAATTGTAGTTTCCCTTCAGGAAGTGCCCGTGCTTTTACCCCATTGCCCAAATTGAGTATTGAATGGGAAATATGTTCATATAATGATGACAAGTTGTGTTAGATGAACGTCGTCTAATCTTTTCCGGAATAATTTAAAGAAATGTCACCTGATAGAGCCCATATGGGGCATTTAACAGGTGATGGTTATTTGGGTATACGTCTGCTAATCATCAATTCACGCTTGTTCATCACCCCCCGATGTTCCTTTCTCTGCATTTCCTCGTTACTAAGAGAGAAAATCAGATAAATTTATGTATTTCGGAATTTTGGAATTTATCTCATGCCTTTCCATAATTTTACACATTTTTTTCCCCAGATTTTCGATGAAAGGAATGTGCGATATGGTAGGAAGAGGAGTGTCGCAGTAGTATTACCCCTGGTCAAACAATAGACTTACCTGTTTTAAACTTGGGGTAATACCGATCGAAGTGGGAAAAATAATGTTGCCCAATAAGACGAAGAAGGGGGGGGGGCTGTTGCACGCTGGGTGCTATAAAGCTCAAATTTTCGGATTCACTAATTGGGTTCCTGGGGTAAGCAAAGTTTTGAAGAATAGTTCAATAGTTAATTGAACCTAGTGGTTGCTCCCGCCATTTCTTTGTCTCCCCTTTTCATTCATAGGGAGGTTGAATGAAACAACCGGATGTAATCACATTTTCTCAACTTCTACAAAAATTTCTTATGCTTGCCATTTCGAATTTTAACATTTTATATGCAATTGACACTTATATCCACCGAGTTAGACCTTGGTTATACAGTTTTAAGGGTAACTTACTGATGGGAGGGGCTTATACAATTGGAGGGTCGTGATTCTGATTGGCACCTCAAGGTCTTAACAGTTTGCGCCATCCTATTAGAACTAAAATTAGGAGGTGATTAGGTAATAATTTCGCAATGGTCTTAATCCTGCATTTCACAAACCAGTTCAAATTTGATTACAAGTAGAAGATGATTGGTTAATGGCGCCGCTCCGTCTTGTTGGCGTAAGATTGTTGGATTTTCTGTTTGTTCAAATCAACCTTCTTTAATTACAATCCACTCAACAGTATATCATCTTTTGTGCTTGCTGTTGCGTTTACTGAATGAGTTAAACTAACTGGTTCGTTGTGATTTAGGTATGAGCTTTTGATTGACATTAGCGTCGTTAATTGTTGTGGGGGGGGGGGGGGGGGGGGGG